GTCGACGAATCATTTTATGAAAATTTATCTCTTTACAGCATTCGAAATTTGTACACTACATGGTCTAGTGGTGGTTACTTGCAATTTGCATAAGGGAGTGAAATCGGCTTGTCTGGAAATGCCAAAGTTTCTAATGAGCCGTATGCTTTTCTTCTAGTGACTATTAACATCCTCATTATCTTCACTGGCCATAGTTCGGATTTTGAACCTTTTCATTTAATCTTCAAAAGCATCAAAATGTGAATGTATGTCCAACTTTTCCATTACATGCCCCATTGCGATACCGATGTGATAATTAGAATTATTTGAATTATTATGTGAACTAGGAATCTTTTCAATAGAGCAATTTAACCAAGAAGTACTATATGAACACAAACGAACGTATTGTATCTGGAATGCAAAATCAGGCAGACTTCGAGTACAAAAGAATCATTAGTTCATACAAATAACACACTATTGTAGTGCCCACTGTCCATTGGTACAGTTCTTCGAGATTTAATTTTCACGCCTCAACCTAGGGAACATCTGACTAATTGGTTTACGTCATGTCGTAGATCTGAATGTCCAGCTTCACTATTTACGAATCTTGACATTCAGATATCATTTGGAGACATGAGAGTCGACAACCTAAGCAATCTCTGTAATTCATTGACATAGCGAAGTAAAAGCAGAGGAGCATTTGTATAGCACACATTAAAGTTTTGTGGATCACTTGTTCTGCCCACACGGATCTAGAAAGTTTTGGCTCATAAGAACTGAACTCCTAACACGCCATCTTTCTTTTGATTTCTCAACTCAGTAAAAACATCCTTCCGCTCAGTCCAGTCCTTAATTGACCAATCTGGTCGGATTGGATTGACGAGCTCTGTGAGCGTTTTTTATTATGATTCCTATCACTCGCTGTTTTCGAGTGCTATATTTCAGACCATTTTTGGCTGGATTTCACCTTTAATCCACTTATTGAGTCAAGTTACGTTAGTTATTGTACTTTCAATGTCTCATCTGGTAGTAAACTTCTGATGATGAGTGCTACTAACTCCAGAACTTGTGCGTTCATTCTCCCATAATCATTTTGTTCTGAATCCTCAGAATCCGAAAAACAGACTAATGATGGGTTGGGCTCATTTTAAGACCATGTCCACAGTCTTAGACTGTGTTGTCGTTTCCTGAACACCAACGTCCGAAAGCATCTTTTTATCTATCCCTTCAGTTTTGACTTCTGAACGGATTCACTCACTTATACTATCTAACTTTTCTTGAGTGAAAGTTATATATTATGTACATCAAAACGTTACATTTGCCTCAACACTTCTTGTGGATGGTGGCTTGCTTGTCTTGAAAATGAAGAACTTATTACGACTTCGTGCAAAAATGGTCAGAATCAGGATTGTCTCCTCTTCCAATGTGTCGACAATGGAAGTCTCAGCCTTTCCATCTGGCGTAAGAGCTAAGCTAAAGGCAATTTGCTGTGTTTATCCTCCTTTGATGTCAGATATTTTGTGTGGGCAACTTCCTTTGGGAGCATCTACATTATAGTGGTTAACTAATGTACTGTCTATAAATTGGGGAAATTTAGAAGTGCCGTCATCAAAAACAACAACTGATTTCAAAACATTAGAAACCACAATCATACTAGCATAATTCCAGAACACTAGAGACCCCATCAGATATGACCTACAAAGCTCCTCATCTCTTTAGGACCTAATCTTCCCACACGGTGATGTCAGTCAAGCAACTTTCCTCCCACCTTTAAGGAAAACTGACGATGCGGCCATCTTATTCAAGTCATTGCTAAGATGGCCTATCAACCAGTTGTGCCTGCCCGTCCTAACATATGAAAGGCAAACATGAAGGCGATCAATTCTACGGAATCGGATGTGAACTGAACTAGGGGCACGGGGGCATCCGTAGAACATGTACGGACTCATTTCAGGCAGTTATACAATCAAGGTACTCAATCATTTATATTCTGAACACTCACAAAGGAGATTAAGCACGGTCATCCCTGAATAGACCGGGATATTATAAGTGTACTAAGACGAAAGAAGAAATGTTGGAATATTGACATCATCATTAGCACATCAAGTATGATGGAACGCTACAAGTCTACTGTGAATCACGAGGTGGCTACTCTGAATTCTACCGACTGACCAGCTTCAGATATCCAAATACGACCCCAATACTGTTACCCAATCTCCAATATATCAGAACACGAGCCGTAGATGAAAAATTGTTTATGGGGTCAGAAGCAGAATAATGATTTACAAACAAATGCATATTTATACAGTTAGTATTACTATAAATATTGACTAACAGAAAAATGACACGTGAATAAATATTGACCAATAGGAAAATGACACGCGAAATAAATACTGATCATTAGGGAAACGACCAATAAGAAAATGACACCATTTAACGTTCAAGGGTAGCATAAGACTTAACTGGATAATTGTTTTTGGGATATTTTTCTGAATATCACAACAAAGTCAGAACAAAATTGGTTTATAATTGCACTCTGGGAAACTCAGCGAAATTATGATGAACTGTTAGCTCAATCTGTAATCATGCAGTTCAGGAGAAGTTTCTCGTACATAAGTCGCATCTTGGATCCTCAAACTAATTACGGAAGCGAGTGGATCCTCAATGATAGAAAATGATCAGGACAAAGCAGAGACTATGGCAAAGCATTTTGGGATGGTTTTTACTCAGGATCCTCTTCTAGACGAAGAACTAGACCCAAATATATGGCCGAAAGATCGTCCGATCGTTATGGACTTCAGTCGAGGTCGTGTATTCAGGACCCTTAGCACTGTGGATACGGAGAAGTCAACAGGAGTGGGTGAGCCTCTTGTTTAAATCTTGGGGCAAATTACACAATATATTGCCGCTACATTGACTACAACATTCGATATGTTACTTATCCAAGGTGAAATACCTAAGAAATTGAAGGACGCAATCGTCACTCCAACACATAAAATAGGATCGGGACAACTCTCATCAAATGACAGACCTGTTGGTCTCACCAGTGTCGTAGTTAAAATCCTGGAAAGAATATTCAAGAAGATCACAATGACGTTCGTGAAGACGAACAACTTGTTAAACAGCGAACATGGTCTCAGAAAAGGTTCATCTTGCACAACAAATCTCTTTATAGCTAGTAAACAATGGATGGAGACCCTAGACAATGGAAAGTTATTGGATAATATCTAAATAGACTTCAGTAAAGCATTTGATGCGGCACCAAAAATATACTACTCATGAAACTAGGAAATCTAGTCATTTTCGGAACTCTCCTAAAATGACTCAGGGATTTCATGGTATGTCATAGACAGAAAATAAGGATAAAATTCAAATACCAGTCTAAAAATTAGCTGGTGGCTATCATTGCGGCAAAGTGGTCTACTTTCACTTTGGGATTTCAGCGGTAAATAGGTGCCACATAGAGGAAGTTTTTGTACCCCTCGTCCGCCGTCACAAGGATCTTGGGGTGACAGTGAACCATAACTTTAGGACCACGGCACATTGCTAAGAAGTTGCAGTCTTCAAGACGAGCATTCATCAGGTTATATACTACTATGTTCACTACAGTATAGACAACCTTAGTAGGAATCAAATTCGTGAACTTTGTTCAGCTGTAAGGCCCTGTTTAAAAGGTGAATCGGACATCCTAGAAGAAGTATAATAGGTAGCCGATCGTGCAATCCCAGAACTCTGGGCTAGCCGCTACAAAGAGTGGCTTGTAAAGCTTGTAGTTTTGGTTACTATGTTAAGGAAAATTCTCTAATAAAGCATGGAATATATCGTCACGCAAATGAAATACACCCAAGAATCGGTATGCGTTTATTTGAGCTTATTCTAGCTTCCGGACAGGCCAATCAATTCATTCTTCATAAGTCACGCTTTGACTTAGTTAATTATTCACTCATTAACCCTTACTGTTTTTGTATGAACGTATGTGTGTGTACATAATTTTCTACTCATCACATGTCTGTAAGTTATTTTTGTGTGATTAAAAGTACCGATAAACGCTTGGTTAAATCTAGTTAGGCCACTTGCCTTCGCCATTTTGCTTCACCCTTCACTCTTTGTTTCGTCTCCTTGATTGTATTGTAGCGTGGCGTCGAGTCCCAATTGACTATGAACACCACTACAGAGAAACACGTGCCAAAATATCCACAAAATCCCCCGGAAGTGAAATATCAGAAGGCAGTTAATGGACCAAGTCGAGATATATTTGCTGGCGATCTCGTGACATCGAAAGAATACCGAGATCGTGCCAGGATACAATCTTGGTTACAGAGCGTAACCGAATTCGCGCGCAGTCACAATCAAAGTGTGAGAAATAATGGAAGCATAATATATTTGCGATTAGCACAGTTAAACAAAGAGCACGTTAAACAAGCACTGGTACAGTTGGTTATAATAATAATTGTTTTCATTAAACCAATAGTGTTCTCGTGATAAAAGTGAGTCACTACAGTATGTTCAAATCAATAATAAGTGCATGAAATATACATATTCAAATTCCATTCTAGTATTTGGTTTATTCACTAACTCAATTTAAGTCGATGGTTATATACGAGGATTGTCAATATGTATACTTTAATAACACTGATTTGTACAATCAACCTGGAGTCACATCCCGGGTCACAAAATGCTAGATCTCTTTATTCTGTCATACCGCAGATTAAGAGGTGATCTGATTTTGATGTACAGAATACTAAGAGATGATTTTAGACCTAATATATCTTCTCTTTTCCATCCGCTAGATCGAGAAATATCAGAGCACATAGCAAGTGAGTAGAAAAACCAACAATGAACAAAATACCTATGGTATACAGATTTACACACTGAGCAATGGTGTCTGTACCTTCAATTGATTCATTCAAGAGTAGAATAGACTCTCACAGAATTATATCATAAAATGAATAACACAGGCTGTAGGCCTTGTGTCTTTAATACTCAAGTCTGAAGGTTGCATTCCGATTGACTAATCTGAAGGCCACCCGTCGTTTGCCGAAGGTCGTCGATATGTAACAATATTAAAATCCTTTAACGTGACGTGTGTTTTCTTATTACAGGGCAACAAAAAGTAGATGTATTGGAAGGAGCTCTTCGTAAGCTGAACCTACAGAACGGTGGATAGAACTATTTTGTAGTAAAATTTCCCTTTTTGTACCCGAACCGCGTCTTTTAATTTTCAAAATATATCTGTTGTGCTAGTATGTCGCGTTCTTGCTCCAGAAGCAATTACTGGTCCTGATTGTTGTGTTGTTGGTTCAGATCCCTTCCGCTTCCAAGTAAACGCTAATAATACATGCTAGAGGTACAATATGTTTTTGTTGCCGTTTCGGTTCAGTGTTCGTATTTGTTTTGGAATATCGTTCTTTGACGTATCCTCAACACTACAATAATGTATCTACGAGTAAATGATAAGTCTGGTATGGTTTATATATAATCATGTACAACGCCTCAACCAATAAAAAAACGGGAAATAAAGGGAATATTCTGTTAGTAAATAAGGGTTAAACAATGGAGCAATGCACTAAGACGTCTCATTTTCATCGTATCGTTAGATTTGTTTTGAAGTTATGGCTTGATGGTGATTTTTAGTAAATACCATTTGTTTTAGATTCGTCGTTGGTGACATTGTCGCTAACTCAGCCTTTCCAGTGTCGACTCATCACTTATATCTACAAAATTATCTTGCCTAACTATTTAACTAAAACTTTGTAACCAATTTATGACCTCTACTCCGGCTAATATTTTAAAGCACCTACAAATCTCGATTGAGATATCTAGTGAAAAGCGAATTTCCTATTTTATTCGATTTAACGTGTGATAGTATGATGGTTTGTGATTTCCTGTCGTTGATGTTAACCAGTCAATGTCAGTTGACATGTGTACGTTGTATGTGTAAGGCTACGACAATGTCAGTTAATCATAAGCTTTAGTAAAAGGATATCTTATTTCCTGGTAAATTTGAGATTCATTACACATATACAGTATTGTCATGTTTTAAAAATGAGTTGGTTGTGAAGAATTTCTTCACTGAATCACGTTTTTCTTGTGACCTAATCCGTGTGTTTAAATTAATATTGAGTTTACCGTAAAATGTCACATATCTGCATAAGATCAGTTCCAACTGTCTGCAGTCATTTATCAACGACCGATTATAGTGATGATTTGTAGAATGAGAAGTGATTTTGTCTCGATATTTGATATAGAATGGTAATCACGCCATATGCCTGCATGATAGATGAAATTCTCATGCTATATTTGGTACTCAAATGATAAAGAACATAACAGTTCTCCATGTACATGTGTTCCTCCTTTGAGGAATAATGTAGTGATGAATATTAGAAAGTAATTCACTAAATGAAGATTCACAACACTTATTTCAACCGAATTGTTGGTTAGACCAGTAATTAATATAGTTTAGGTAGTCACCATTCGGTATCTTGTAACAAATCATTAGAAATTTTCCCGAACCTTATCAATCTAACTACAGGAATATACATACCCTAATAGTCTTAATTTCGAACTTTCTTTGTAGAACATGGTTGAGAATACTGAGGATTTGAAGAGATCACTAACGGATTCGGTTAATGATTTAGGGTACATTTTGTCTGATCGTTTACGACATGTAGATGGCGATTTCGATTTTGATATGTCTGTTACTGCAACATATGACCTCGACACTCGACTCATGCTGATGCTTGACAAGAGTATGATGCCTGAGTCTAATCTAGAAGATTCCATACCTGTTGAGAATGACTGGGTGAAGTTTGCCGCAACGGCCTCTGCATATGTCTACAGAAATGTTGGTGAATCGGTTTCCAAACCTCTTCGAAGATGGCTGGCGAATGCTGCCAGTGCTGCGATTCTCGCTGGTCTACTTGCAGAACTGCCCGAGTCGTCGGATTCAGATGGAAAAAATACTTCTGATGAAGAGACACCTGTCGAAAATGTCTCCACACCTGACGGAGTAGTGGAGCATCGTCAAGACGGTGCCTGGTACTATGGCCGTTGGACCGTTGACAATTTTGCCAACAGTTATGAAATGATGGATGTGATCGATGCTGAAATGACAGATGCATGTATTCGAGTGATGATTGCTGCTGTTGTTAATTATTTCCAGGAGAACAGATTTGCTCCGTGTGGTTTGTTGAGAGACAGTTATGCAAGTGCGATACTGAGAAGTGATCTAATGGATAGGTATGGGTTGACAGACGAACATGATAAAATTGAAGCGATGCGTATTACTGGTTATTGGGTCTCGAAACTGTATGTGTTCCACATGGCGACGAAGCATCGTGATTTAGAGCACCCAATCAGACCTATAAATAATGTTGGTTTGGTGCGTCCTCTGAAACTAGATATCAGTCAGTGTTTCGAGGACTTGACAGCTAGATTTATCCGTACACGAATCGCACATCAGATTGCCAGTCGAATGGTGCGATCTGTGTGTATAGTGTTTTTTGAAGATTTGAATGAATTGATTGAGTTGCGGAAGCTGTACCGTCGAATATCCAGTGATCCATTTTATTACCACACTGACTGTGAATATTTGACGAAATCATCTCGACCGTCAGTCAGTGACAAGATGAGTAGTATATTTGGTCGATTGGTCACCTATTTGAGTGTTTTTGAGCCGAATAGTGAACTGTTTGATTATCCGCAGTTGAAGATGAATGGTAGAACTCGAGAACAACACTATGTTGATTACAGTAAGAATTGGAAGAAGATACTGGAGACGATTTATACAGAGTTGTATATGCCAAGTGGAAGTCCTTTATTGGATGTACTTAGAAGTAGATGCAAAATCTCAGCAAAGATTCCACAAAATGAAAAACTTTTGAGAGAATGTTGGAATAAATATGGTGTCGATTCGAATATTTTGAAATATATTTTCCGATACTCACTTAATCGTTAGATATTATGTTCACTCATTGACATATCGAGAGTAAAACTTTGTTAATAATCGATTTCAATATTATTTTTTCATCAGTGATGTTGCTTTATGTTTTCACTGTGGATTTGTTAACATATAGGTAATTGCTGGAAGCACTTTCAATATAAGTGGACTAAGTTTCAAATAATTTTTCTAAAAATTATCGATCAGAGCTTCTGAAAACCTAATTTTAGGTAAACTTATCGTTACTTTACATCTATCGTTACCTTTTATTGTTCGCGTCGGTTTATCCATACTGTTATTTAAGTGTAATTGTGCACAAAGTAAATATTCAATTGTTTTGCATGTATCAGTATTTCGTAAGACTCTCATAAATATTACACCACATTCAAGTTGCCTAAATCAACTGACTGAGTTACTGGGACAGTGTATGACATAGCAAACCAAATCAATCATGAGGTTTAAACAAATAGTTAATCACTAATGTGAAGTGGTTGGTGGAATGATAAAAACAAGGCTAATCTAAGTTCAGTAGGGTATATATTTTCAGTATCTTTTTTTATTAATTTGATTCTTTCCGAAGCTGATGTGTAAATCTAACTAACTTGATAAGCTTACAACCTCTTACTCAGTAATAGGTGTATTTGCCCGAATGCGTAACCATCTTAGCTGCCATTTGCATATACTGGTATAACCGGAGAGAGAGATAGAGAGTTAAGCATATTTCTCACAATGACAAGCTTATTCCCATTAATAAATTCCAAAATGGACCTATTGAAATTGTAAATAGAAAGGTATGAAGTAGTTTTATAAATCATAAATACTCAGGTATCTCCAGCTCGATGCTGCCGATCGTCGGTTTATCGTTGAAAGTAATCGTCAGATAGTTTCTCGATAATAATAATCTACTGCGTGAATTCACGAAGTTTATTATTTGATAACTAACTACCGTTGCCTCTCGTGGAGCTTAGACCGAAGACCAGGATTCTCCAACCGACTCATCTAGGCACTATTTTCCAGTTGTTTTGAAATGCTGTTCATCTTTTTGATGACTGCCCCCAATTCCCTGTGTTATGTGATCTTTAGTCTCTCTTTTTCGTGCTCTTTGGGGACTTCCAGTTAAAACTTGTCTTGCGACTCAATCTCATCATTTCTGCGGTATGTATCCTATGCATCTCGTGTTATTTCCTAGTTCCCTTTCTATTTGAATGTTGGCTTGTTCTCTGCCAGACTAGATTATTGCTGATGATGTCTGGTCGACAGAGGCGTAATAACTTGAGGAGACATAAATGTTTAGCTCATTGTATTCAGTATTGACGAGTAATATAAAGTGGTGATTCAACACAGCTGAATGTTTTCTCAAAAGTCTCGGGACCTTTAGATGATCCAAAGATATTGGGTTGGTCTATTTCATCTATCGAATCTCAGAGTGATGATAAATTTTCAGATTACTAAAGGATTTCTAACTTGATTCATTTTTTACTGAGTATGTTTCAAAATTACGTACACCTGATGACTGGAAATTGTTTCACACAATTAATTCCTATCAATGTTTGTAGAATAACAACAACGAATATCGTGAGATGAAGTGAAGAATAGAGTTCGATATATAGATAATTCCCGTTGATAATGAAATTATTTACATTCCTAGTGATGCATAAATGGACCTGAAACTTATCTTCTTGGAACAGTATAGCACTAGCAAACACAAGTACATTATAGTCGCTTTTAAGTCTGAAACATTATCTAGTGCACTGTGTCAATGACACCATTGTTTTTTCATAATTTCCTCTTCAAATGGAAATCGAGTTTGTTCGCTCCCACAATAGGCTATTGCTGATGGTATCCGGTGAACGGATCAGGAACATGTTGTGTAGACAGATGTCTATAAATACCCGTATCTTTCTGATGATGGATGTGGTAGTTGTGTGATTTCAGCTGCATACAATACTTGATTATTGGCTGAAAGTTATTTTGGTTTGTAAGTGTTGTTCACTTGTAGGAATGCTGTGTTTGCTGTTCAGATCCATGCATTCACGTCTGCATCAGATCCCTCTTGTTCATCGTTGATGCTGTCCAGGTACGTGAAAGTTACATCTGTTGCAGAGCAGCTCCATTACGTGTGATTGGGTTGATGCTTATTGTGTCGTATTTGAGGATGTTGCTTTTTCGCTTGTGTATATTAGGGTCTACTGATGTAGAAACTACTACTACACTGTCTATCTGCAACTGCACTTGTTACTGTGTACGCATCATCTAACTACGTCTAAGCTTTCTATTGTATTCCATTCTTTCTTCGAGATATGTGGGTCTTCCAACCACCAGAAGAGAGATATTAATCAGCCTTGTCTGACACCATTCTTTACTTTATGCATGACGTCGCAGTGTAGTCTGTGGTAAGAATCATGTACGATTATGTCAGACAATGCTCCATCAGTTTCTTCTTTCCATACTGTCAAATGCTTCCTCATGTCCGAGGAAGTTGATGTATAGTGAGGAATTCCATCCAATGTTTTGCTCAACGATGATCCGTGGTATCGCTACTCGTCTGTGCACGACCGATCCTTACAGGGTCCGAACAGTTGATCTCGAAGTTGTTTGTCTGTTGAGTCCTTCATCCTGTTCAGTAACACTGTTGATTCCTCTATCGTTCACACATACGCACAGATCATCTTTTTTCGGTATCTCGATGAGATATTCTTTTTTCCATTCTGTCCGTGGTACTTGTACTCCATCCGAAATCTTCTTGAATAGAGTATGGATCATGTTAGCATTTGCTTCTATGAGTGACTTCAGTGATTTATTTGGTCTATTGTCAGATCTTACTGCTTTCCTACTGTTTATTTGCCTGACGACCATTTTGGTTTGTTCGATCGTTGGTGGAGTGACATCTATGGGAATGTCTGTGTGCATTTTTGGATGAATATTGTGCCGCCTATAACCAATTTATTGAATGCACATATGTTCTCGAATCTCTCCCAATTTTCGTTTCCCTCCTAATCCATGTCGTCCTATGTTATCTTTATATCCGGCGTTGTCCATTCTAAATTTGTTGTTTATGTCTCCTATTGAGATGGTCAGATCATTTGCTGGGCTCTTTACTGTGATCGATTGCAGCCTCTCATAAAACAGATCTTTATTGTCTTCATTGCTATCATTGTTGGTTGCAACACATTGGATAACATTCATTGTGATTCCCTTCTTCTTTGTTTTGAAGGATGCTTGATGATGAGATGCCGATAAGTGCATCTTCGTGTTACTTTAGACAGCAACATAGCAGCAACTCTGAGTTTCTTAAGTTTGCACACGGTAATGTGGTGAAGCGCTGGATTATAACTAATGTCGTTTTGTGATGAGAATTCCAACTCGAATCTGCCGCTCTGCTTAAACTGTCTAGTCCTAGCGATTTTACATTATAATCGATGTAAGTTGGGGACGAAAACTCTAACTCAGTGTACTATCGTGATTTCTAATGTGCAAACTTGATATTTCTCCTTTATTACAAAGCATAATTTGGCATGTGGGTGTTAATAATCCAAATGAACTCTTTATTTCCACTGTCATTTTATCGCTTTTTATTGTTACTTAATTTGTCACTACACAGCGTTTCCCGATAGACTGATAATCCCCCTAATGTCATCAGTATATTATACTTTTAAAAACACGAATTTCAACGAAGAGATCTTTTATCAACGAATTTATGATCAACCTGTACAATCGTATATATATGAAAGTAATAGTTCCATGAAGAAATGTGAACAAGGGATAACGAACATGATGTGAGAGAAGGATTATAATACTAGGTTGCGTAATACGAATAATATCAGTAGACTTAATAAGTTAGTAACGAATTATAACGTGAATGTAGGACGATGAGTAAAATGGACGGTGGCTCAATTTTGTGGGTTGGTTGAAGTTAGACATTAACATCATTGGATACCGGCTCAGTGGTTTAGAGGTTAGGCGTTCGCGCGAAACCAATAGCACTTGGGTTCAAATCTCGGGAGGCGGGATCGTGGCTGCACACTGCCGAGGAGTCACACAATAGGACGAAACGGCCATTCAGTGCTTCCAGGTTTTTCATGGTGGTCTAGTTTCAATAGACTCATGAATTCAACTTTAAAATTACTAAAATCTTCACAAAACCCCTTCTGATTAAAATGTTTTTTCTGTCGAAAAATTCTCTTCAAGTTCCTTAGCTTTGTACCTCAATAGTACAAACGAAACTTGATCAAAACCCTTAGTTACCGAATACGCACTATATGTTCTGCGGATTATTTTATTTATTTGAACACATAAATATTGGCACAAGGGGGCGCCAAATACATATGCGCCACACAAAACAATGAGAATCGGGAGAGAGAAAAAGTAAATTGCGTATGAGGTTAAAAAGGAACAATAACGACCACAGATTTGTGTAAGGTAGTGTAATAATAATAACGGGGGAAACGAAAAGGTACAACCAGAAGAATTCCTTCAGTTAAGGAAGATGCAACCACTTTCTATGGAAATAAGTGAAAGGTTACAGTAGGATCGCCACTGGCTTCTATTCGGAGCCATATCAGATAGCATCTCTAGCTACTGTGCTGCACCATCTCTCGAACCCCGGCCAGGGAGTCGTGAAGGACCAACAGAATCCAGGCCTTTTCAGCTTTCTTTGGTATCACGGCACCATGTCATACACTGATCACCTCTCCGCTTTTTCCAACCAGAAGATAATATTCCACATCCCACAGTTATGCGTTGATGAGCAATTTCCTGAAGTTACTTGAATCCATGTGTACTGCAACACGAAAAGTCAATTTGAAATAAACTAACAAAATACTACTCAAATGGACGACAAAGATAGTTAAATAAGATTTAGTTGTGTATTGAATAATTTAAATCAGTCTCGCTTCACAGGAGAATCAGACACCATATAGGCTTTAACGATATAATTTGAATAGTACAGTTCAGTCGTGTTGCGCAAACACACTAGTGGACCAATCATAGAAATCAATCAGATTCCCATATTTATGAAG